AAAAGTTTTGTAGTCTGGAATATATCGCTTTTTCGAATATTTTTGAGAATGATGAAAGAAGGCTTATTGGTCTATAGTTCTCGTTTTTAGCTACATCACCTTTTTTATGTAGTGGCCTGACAATTGCCAGTTTTAAACTTAGAGGAAATTTACCTTAACTGAAAGAAGCATAACTATAAAAGAAAGGGGAAGAGAGATCACTGATGAAACATATTTAATTAAGTTGGTTGAGATTTCATCATAAAAAGATTTAGGCTTGTTTTTTAAGTTATTTATTATGTGGCTTACTTCCTTCTCTGAAACGGGAGCATGCAATGATTATTTTGTTCGATATTAAGTAATTTGAAAAATTTTTATACTCTTTATTTTCTTTACAGCTTCCACCCTTTTCTTTACGCTGCATTTGCCATAAGTTGATTTATTTCATTAGAAATCACCTGAGGGTCACCCGATTCGTTAATCGATTCTATATACGATTCGATACAATAATCTATTCGATTCGATAAACAATTCAATAATCTATTCAATTCTTTAATCAATTCGATTCGATTCCATACTCGATTCAATACAATAACCTATTCGATTCAATAATCGATTTAATAATTGAGTCGCTAATCCATTCGATAATCGATTCACTAATCTGTTGGATAATCGATTCGATAATCGATTCTATAATTTATTCGATAACCAATTCTATAATCGGGTCGTTAATCGGATCGACAATCGATTTGACAATCGATTCGAAATCTATCCGATAATTGATTTGATAATTGATTCAATAATCAATTCGATTAGACAATCGACTCCATTTTATTGCATTCGGTAATCGCTTCGATGCGATCAAATAATATATTCGATAATCAATTGTATTCGATAAAATAATCGATTATATTTGATAATGGATTCGATAAGGTAATCGATTCAATAATTGATTCGATAATTTATTGGATTCGATAAACGATTTGATTCTATTTGATTTATGTTAAATAAAATATTTGTTAAAAATATATTTTCGGGAAAACTGGATGATCAAACGGCCGTTAATGAATATAACTATCAGTTCGTTTTTACAATGTTTTGACAATTTGAACCATATTCGCGAAGTAAATTCCAGTTGGGCGAATTGAGTAACCTGACGAGAAGATTCGTAATTCTATACCTACTTGTGTCTTCTACATTACTATAGCTTAATTTAACATTGGATTCTGATTATTCAGAGAGTAGTAACCCAGGTACAACATCTGACTCAATTTTAACTAATTTACATTTTAAGAGCAATAATAAAATAATTCCAGAAAATATTAAATGGCTGTTTTATAATTAAAGAAAGAATACATAGATATGATTCCAGATTTTGATGGACTTCACACATTACTTTCTAGATTTTCGAAATTTGCGAAAAACTTATAAATAAATTTTATAATGCTGAAGATGTAAATGATTTTCAAAATGAATATTTGATGTCAAACATAATAGCAAAAATTAAAGGCGAAGTTGCAATTAATATTTCTTCTTTTAGGCATTGTTATTTGTAAGTTTTTCTTAATATAATATAGTTATTCTTCTTTTAAAGTAACGGTTAATATAAGGATTTTAGTTGTTTATTGAGTGGCAAGACCACTGCTCTGGGACGGTGGTTAAGGTTTTAGCCAGAACACGGTTAATCCGGCACTATCCTGGGGTCTTCTGGCCTAATATCCATGCCTAATATAATGCCAGGGTGTATTGATTTGTGACGTTATACGCGACAGAAACACGACCTGACACAAAGAGAACAAAAAGAATGATAAACAACAGAGATGAAAACACAGAAAAATTGGTAGTAAAACACTATGGGACAGAGCTAAACGTACAGATATACGAGAAAGATGCAAGGTGGAGAACATCAAGGACTGGGTAAGAAATAGAAGAGTAGAATGGAACGATCATACAAGCCAAATAACATCAAACAGAGTAGTAAAGAGGACAAGAGACGGTTATTCAATAGAAAGAAGATCAGTAGGAACACCACGTAAACGATGGAACGACAACTTACTCGAGGCACATTGAAAAACAGACAGTTACGTCTAAATAAAAAGAAGAATAAGAAGCATAGAACTTTCAGATTTAAAACAAGGCAATGAATCCCCATTCGATTTTTATAACCGAATACAACACCTATTAAATCTTCAAATATCTGGTTTGTCTAAAAAAACCAAACATATGGTTGAAATTAATATTCTGGGTAGCTTTTTCCGAAATTTAGCATTAAGTTAGCATTAGGAACCTTATTGCGTACAAAGAATCCTCCAGATTTAAAGTCTACATTAGGCATTCCGATAAACGCATTTACTCGATACCTCGATCAAAATAATTCTCCTCATAGTAAACATCCCAAACCCTATCAAAATAATAATTATTCGTCTAGGCCAAAATCCAATATCCGACAAAACTAACAAATTATACGTCAACTTTAAATTCAATACACACCAAGAAATCAATTTTCAATACAAAAAAACACTAAAGATACCACGAAATCTTTCCAAAATAATAGGAGTACAAGCAAAAATACAAATTTTAATATAAATAATAATGAGTACAACAACTAATAATACATACTGACCAACGCAAAACTTACAAAATTGGACTCATTTCCGCAACCTCAATAATTTGGCAAGCCAAAATAAAAATATTATCGCGAAATGACTTTGTAATATAGTAATATAGATTGTCCCGGAACTTCATCCCAAGACCAATATTTTCGTACATAATGTTTCCTGAACAAAATTTAAAAGTTCTAATAGATACCGGGAACACTAAATCTTTTATTACACCGAAAATAGGTGGCAACTATTAAAATAAATATAAAAATAAAATAAAATAAAAACCATTTAAGTTTCCACTGCTGTTAAAACTACCAAGGGAAATGTATGTACCATAATTCCCTCTTCGTCTATATTCAGGCAAATATATGTCAGATTGGAAGATAAAAATTCACCTCCAAATCAGCCGTGACCTATTTCAAGGAGATTCGTTGAGCACACTGTGTTTTTTTCTAGCGATGAACCCCCTATCCCAGTTACTGAACTCAATATTAATTTGCAGATTAAGCACAGATTTTAAGCATCAAAAATAACATTACTGTTGTGGCAAAGCCTACTCTTCTATTGTATATGGATGATTTAAAACTATTGGCTTCCACTCGAAGCCACCTGGATCAGATGCTGAATATAGTAGAAAATTTCTCTAATGATATTAGTATGCACTTCGATATTGATAAGTGTTTTATCTAAAATATAATCAAAGGAAAGGTTCAGCCCGGCGGATTCGATACGCAAAATGACCACAACATCGAGGACATTTGTGAAAATGATATGTATAAATACCTCGGAATAAAGCAGGCGCGAAGGATTGACCAAGCAAACGAAAACTGACATAACTACTGAGTATATACTACTTATACAACTGCGAAAAGTACGAACACACCTCAAAAAGGCACAAAAAAACAATCCTCCACCAACCAAGTGTACTAGAAAGACGACATTACCGAGATATTTAGGAGGACCAGAACTTATAGATATAAGTAAGGAATTAGAAAAACATATTACTAATTAAAGAACTTATTTTCAGATGAAGGCTGTGACATCTACTCTACATCGCGAGATTTGTGCAATGTTCAGTAGATGACACAATACCGATCAAACAGAAGAAACCAGAAATGCGCATAAAACATCTTACTAAGGACGAAAAAATGCGCACCTGGATGGGTAAACCTCTGCACGGGCGATATCCCAATGAAGTCAGTCAAAACTATGTCGACAATTGAGCGAACTATTGGCTGATATCAGGAAAGATGTTCAGAAGATTTATTAGTTGCCATTCAGGATCAGGTTATACCAACAAAAAAATACCTTAAATATATCATCAAAGACTCTCAAGTCCAAAACGACAAATGACGAAATGGATGTCAAACCAAAGAAACCATCCAACATCTTACTGGGGGCTGCCAGGCATTGGCTGCATTGGTTAAAACTGAATACAAGGTACGGCATGAATCGCATGATACAGTAAGGCAAATCTTTCACCAAGAAATAGCTATCAAACTGGGACGTCTCCAAGCAAACCATCTCTTGGTATAGTATTATCTGTACGTCCCAGAGAGTATGCTTGAATATGAGAACTTCAAGCTATATTAAGACCGCACTGTGCTCACAGATCAAATAGTAGCACACAATAGACCAGATCTAGTACTAGTCAATAGTACTAACGACAATAATCTACGTGTCAAATACGACGAAAATATCACCAAGTACAGAGATATGGAAATACAAATAATGAAACAATGGAGAATGAAAAGTGCTCAGACGATACCTATTATTCTTTCTACTACTGGAGTCATTCCGAAGAACCTCCTAGAAAACGTCAAAAAGCTGAGTGTGAATGAATATTTCCATAGGATCACCCAAAAAGCTGCACGACTCTCGACGTCCAGATGTGTACGAGCATTTTTGGGCGATACTCCAGCATACCAAGTTACCTAAGACTCGATAACAAGCAAAGAGCCCTAAAATAGCTTAATCCCTTTGATACCGTAGGTATCTGGGATGAGTGAATTTTCGCCAAGAGGGAGTGAGAGCCATATGGTTAAATCTAGATAATAAAAAGTATACGTAACACATAATTTATTTTTTATCTTTGAATGCAAACGGCGCAATTTCGAAAATTTTAATACAAAAATTGCATTTTTTGGTTTAATAGAATATTATATTGATCATAAATATTTAAAAAAAGGTATTTACCAGATATTTTAAGAACTGGACTAATAAATTACTTATTACAACATATATAATTTTATTAAACATAACTTAAATATCTATCTAAATACAAAACAAACAGGAATAATATTTGAGCCTACTAATACGCTTCACTGGAAACAGATCGATGATTTCAGTTTGATATAATTGCTTTATAGAAGATAAAAATTATAAAAAAAATGTATTCCTTCATTGTAATTTACTAACCTCTGGAAATCCTTCTCTGATATGCCTCCAAATAAGAGGATCCGTCTGTATGTAAAGTGAGCAGGTATTTTTGTTTTCGTCCCTTCTTGTGGCTCTCCTGTGTCTACTGTTGCTTTGTTCATTGGCTTCTTTCGAGTATTTGTTAACAACGTGCTCGTAATTCGGCAGAGGATTCGGGTCCTCCTTGTCTTTTTTATTTTTTAAATGTTTTTTATGTTTGACAGCTTTTTTGAAAGCAACAGTAGAGGGGGAAAGGGACAGGTCTTCGCCTGAGGATTGGATTTTGTTCATCCACTCGATCACATCGTCGTTAATTCCACAGCCAGCAGAATGACCTAGAAGTGCATTATTAATTAACTGTTGAATGGATGAATTTGAAACTAAAAAAATAATAATAAAATAGATTATCGTATTATCACCGGAGGTTATTCTGTAAATGTTAACGAGTATTGGGAGTGTTCATTTAAACATGGAGTTACTACAAATAAAATAAAAATTTTGGCTGGTGAAATGATTTTGAAAAGTAATATTAGGATCGGTAATACAGCGTAATCGAGAAATAGATGGAGATGTGTGTAGTAGAATTAAGATAAAGTAGATGAATTGAAAAGATGAAAGGAAGCGAATGGTGGGTGGAGTGTAACAGAAAGATTTCAATGAGACTGAAGGGAAAATTTTATAAAATTGCCATAAGACCAGCTATGATATATGGAACTGAATATTGGACAGTTAAAAAGAAAGAGGAACATCGAATGCATCTAGCGGCAATCATAATGCCTAGATAGATGACTGAAGTGGAATGAGTATATTGGAAAAAGTCTAGTAGTGGCATCAATTGATACCAAAATGAGTGAGCATGGGTTAAAATGGTTCGAGCATGTTCAACATAGAGAAACTTATCACCAAATACGAAGCATTGCTAATTTGCAATTTCCTAGGAGTACGAGAGGCAGATCAAAGAAGACCTGGAGAAACGCTGAGGCAGGATATGTGTAAACAGACAACGAACAGGATTATTTCTGTCATCAGAATATAATGTGAAGTGTATAATTGATTCATCATCATCAGTAGCTCGATAACCCTTTCTGGGTCCTGGCTTGTTCTAAGTGTTGCAGTTTCGCAACTGTATATAAACATTTGTAAGTGTATTAACAGACTTATTAATAGTTTCTATTCTCGTATATTTTAAACCAGATTTGCGTGTAAGTGACACAGCCGTTTTAAGGGCTAAAGATTGCAAGGCGGGTCATCTGCGAAATATCACCACATGTGTGTACCTAAAATAAGGGTTTGCATTCCATACACAACCAAAGTCGAGCCCTGTCTCTCAAACGAGGCACTTGTTGAAGAGTACCTGATTCCGCATCGGCCAAGAAAGACGCTAATGTGCATCACAAACTTTGGTAGTTGAAGTGTCGCTGAAGACATAATTTGCGATAGCGTTGGGGATATCTTTTTCATAGGGTAAGGAACAATAGCCCATATTAATTTGTTGCTGCGTATATCAAGTACGTGCACGTCGTATATTTATTTGATATTTGTTTGGAACTTCATGGCATTTGCGCCGCGATCGCGATTGAGCATTGTCAATTGGACATTTTGCATTTGTTTCGGTTTATTTACTGTATTGTATATTTTTTTTGTATTTTGTTAATACAGATTTTATTTCTTGTATGTTTGGTATTAATAAGTGTACTTATTAATCATTTGTATGCACATTATCTTTTATCTTTTTATGTATAGTATGTTTGCGGCTATGGTAGGTTTTGACTTTTGTTTTGTCAGTGGTTTTTTATAGAATTGACATTTTTGTTTTGGTTTGTTTATGGTTGTCTTTTGGTGTGTCTGTTGGTGTGTTTTATAATGGCTAATAGTTAAGTTTGTAATGTATTCTTCTTCTTTTAAGTAATATTCTTCTTTAATTATAATGGTATATTTGGTTATGTATATTTATGTTTTTATTTTCATTGCTTTTTTAAATAGAGTTTTATACAGTCCACTGGCTTTGATTTCTTTTCTTTAGTTGAATATACATATCCAATTCGAAAGGGGGAAACCAGCGAGTTCTAGATTGAACAGAATATCTCTCCCCCTTCAGGATGACCCCAATGGTTATATTGAAGTCATCGTATGTGCAGAACGCAACACTAAGATTTTCTGACATTCCGTTATGTTCTTTGTTTTGTTTTTCCAGTTGGTCAAATTATATATATATATATATATATATATATATATATATATATATATATAACAATTTATTGTGTTGGAATATCGGGTATGCGGTCTGTTATTATTAAAAAAAAAACTCTTTTTTCTTTTAATCCTCTATATTTCGCTGATTTTTTGTCAGCTTCATCAGGAGACAACTAAAAATTTGAATAAAAGTTATATAAAAATCAGTTTGAATAAAAAGTGACTCACTTACAGATTTAGAGTGGAAAGTATTTAAACAAGTTGAACATGTTCAAAATGTTCATATAGACAATGAAATAATTGATAAAAACTACAAAAACTATTATATAAAACTATTGTTGAATAAATGAAAGAATTGTCAAAAAATCAGAAGAACTGAAAATCGAAAGATATTCCGAAACTCTTTAACCCCAATTAAATAATCCAAAAAATCGATCCTGGTAACGTTTAAGCACATCTAGCAAGCAGTATAAACAACTTAAAGAAAATCTCGAAAGAAAAAAAGCATATCACAAAAAAAATTTATATTAATATAGATAAATCTATATTGCTGGGGCATTTTTAACATTCAAAAAGCAAATAAATTACTATTATTACACTCACCTTCACGTATATTAGCATAAGGATCCTCAACGTGGTCTTCATGGTAGATAACACTATGGAATGTTCTGTTTGGATGTGTAATGTGAGGAAAATAATGGTGGGCTTTTTCTACGTAAAATGCACCCTTACTAGGCAACATGAGCTTTCCTTCAAAAACGCCTTCAATGATTGAACCAAAGGCTACACTATCAGGTTCACCTAAAATGTCAAATCATTTTTTGAAATTATATACATATATAATTATTATATATATATATATACATATATAATTATTATATATATATATATATATATTGAGATGACAATAAATATAGATGACATTGGCATGATAATATTATGATTTTTAATTAATAAACTTAAATAATGATTAAAGAAATTATTTATAAGTTATTTTTGAACTAAATAAGCAACATATCTAAAATGGGGTTATTTATTAGTTTGGGATGTTTAATTTAAATATAATTACGGATGTAAAATAGTGATATGTATTAATTTAAGATATTTAGTTTATATATAATAGTGTATTCTGATGTGAAAAGCCTAAATGTCCATTAAATTATCCATCGAAAAGCAAAGAATTTTCTAGAAAACATGTCAATATAAGAAAGTTGGCCTATTTACGTAGACTGTTCCAGAACATTCATATGTCTAGGAATTGAACAACTTAGAACATGATTTATCTCCCGAATATTCTAGAACGATAAAAGGATATAAATTCGCGGTAATTTGGAGCAGGCAGGCATTAAGTAATTAAGTCAGTTACAATTCATTCATTAAGTTAGTGACAGTAAATTAGATTCATCAAGAAAGTTAGTTCAAGACAGTTATAATTAATTAAGTCAGATACAGTTGGAGAGTATGAGAGTAAATTAAGACAGTTCAATACAGTGATAGTTAATTATTAATACAGTAATACAGTGACAGTATGGTGTTAATTCATTAAGAAGTTAAGCAGTCAATAGTACAAGCACATAGTATACAGTATATTTGAAAGTATATTATATGGTGATTGGAGATTATTAAGAAGATAAATATTTACAGTTGTTGGGAGCTGATAATTAAAATATTTTGGTATATTTGGAAAAAGCAATTTCACAAATACCAAGGATAACCGAGGCTGATTAAGAAGATATTGAGTGGTGATTATAATTTTTATTTTGGAAAACTTTAGGCATTCAGTGATAGAAAGGTACCAAATTTTGTTAATATAATTTAATAATTGTAAGAATTTCAAATTTTAAATAGGTTGTTTTAAATTTATATTGTTTATATTAGATATATATGTGTGTTTCATAATAGTTATAATAAAGATAATTTAAAAAAGTACTTACAAACTAATTCTTTAAGAACCGCGATAAAAACCCTATATATATATATATATATATATATATATATATATATATATATATATATATATATATAATTCAAAATTAATATAATATAATCAATATAATTCAAAATTACTCATAGCTCATACACAAACAAAACATCATTGCAATTTTGGCGCCCAACATGGGGCTCTATTTAAAAGAATTAGTTTGGGAAGATAAGTGCTCTCATATAATTAAATTAATTTTCATTAAAAAAAAATTATAAATTTTATTTTTAATTATATTTGAACAAATAAAGTCCCAAAATTTCTCAAGAAAGAGAAGAAAATGTTAATATGGCAGCTCTGATGTCAATAATGATGCAGATTAACAAGACGTTGGAAGAGAATTCGAAAGAAGTCAAAGAAGACATAAGAAAAATGGAACAGAAATTGGAAGAGAATTCAAAAGAAGTCAAAGAAGACATGACAAAAATGGAACAGAAATTGGAAGAGAATTATAAAAAATTAGAAAAGAAAATAGAAGATAATAATAATAAAATTGTAAAACATATAGAAAAACAAATAGATAAAAAACTTGAAGCTGCCGAGGAAAAAGTAGCAAATGAAATAAAAAATATACGGCATGACTACAAGAAAAGGATAGAAAATGAGAGAACAGAAGTAAATAGGATTATTCAAGATAATAAGATAGATATAGAACAGAAAATAGAGTTGCAGAAATGTAACTTAGAAGTTCAAATTAACGAAGACAGGAGAAAGACAGGAGAAAAATTAGACGATATGCAACAAAATATCCAAATAAATAGTAATCAAATACGAAATTAGGAACAGAGAATAGATGATACTTCACAAATGAGAGACCTTACCTAAATTTAACAAATGACACTGGGATTAAATTATCTGGTAATATAAACAATTTGCATCCTAGAGTATACATAGATAGTTTAAAACATAAATTAAGATTAGTGAATAATATTAATGACATTAAAGATTATATTAGAATGACATTAAGTGACAATGCGGCAACTTGGTTTGCCAGTATTGAGAATGATTTGGATAATTTTCAAACATTTGAAAATAAATATTTTAATTATTATTGGGGTGAATTAGAGCAAGCTAGATTTAGGAAAGTTCTCTATTTTGGAAAGTATAATCATAATTTAAGATCAAATATGGTAGATTATGCATTAAAACTGATAACGGTTGCAAAATATTTAGAACCACCACTTAGAGAGGATGAAACAGTTTTAAATGTATCTAGACATTTTGATGCCGATGTTGTGCAAACAGTAACTGTACAAAATATTCAAACAATAGATAGTTTTATTAATTTTATTCAAATAATACAAAGAAGTAATATGACAAGTATAATGATAACAATGATATTAGGATGAATAATAATAATAATAATAGAAAAAACAATAATGACTTGCAATATAATAAGAATAATAATCAACAATATAGACAATCATATAATAATAATAAATATGGTAATAATATTCAAAATTTTAATAACAATAATAATAATCAAAATAGACAAAATTTTAATAACAATACTAGTTATAATAGACAAGATTTTAACAATAGGAGAAATACAGAACGACCTAATTACAACAGACAGGTAAATCATGTACGAAGGAATAGAAGCTGCGAAGAGAGTGAACGAAATAGTACAGGGCAGGAAAATATGTGTAGAAGTCATAGTAGTGAAAGACACAGGACATTAGATCCAAGTGGTCAGATACAATCGGAGAATTCTAACAATCCAAATTTTGTGCAGTAACCTTTCTGAATTACAAGTTGGGCATTGTCATTATGAAAAACCTTCTGAATTTATTTCTTTAGATAAAGATAAAATTATTGAATCTATTAATTTAATTTATATGAATGCTATGGCCAAAAATAAAATGATTAAGATTATGATAGATACTGGTTCAGAAAGTACTTTAGTCTCGGAAAATTTTATTTTTAATACATTAAAACTATAAGATATAATAAAGATTCCAAAAATTAAAATTGTTGGTGCAAATAATAAGAAGTTGGGTGAAATTGATAAACTAGCCAATTTTAAAATTAATATTCTTAATAAAGAAATTAATATGCAAGGATTTGTTGTCAAGGATTTATGTGTTGATATATTAATGGGAAATGACGAATTGGAAAAGAAGAAAGTGAAGATAGATTTTGAAGAAAAAGTTGTAACTTTGGAAGGGCAAATAATTATGTTTATGCAGAAAGATGAGGTGCAAGAAGAAATAAGAGTTGATAGGATATTATTAAAAGAAGTTAATGATGTTTATGAAGAAGAAATGTACTTTGATGATAGGGAGATGTCCCAAAAGAATATAAAGAATAATTGTAGTGAATATTTAAGGAATGGAAATTTTAAGCAGATGGATGCCTACGAGGTGGAGTGCGTAAAACTAGAAGCAAGAAATAATGATTATATAATGAAAAATAATTTTATTTGTAAAGAAGAAGATATGATAAAAGTTTTAGGTTGCCCTGAAGAATATAAATCAATAGTCGTTTCCATATTGCCGCAACACAAGGGACTTTTATAAACCCTATCGTAGTAGTACGAAAAATATCAGGTGAAATTAGGCTATGTTTGGATGCAAGGAATATTAACAAGAGCACCAATGAGTATAGATGGAATACTAGGAAGAATTACAGGAATGTCATTTTTCACTAAAATCGATTTACAGCATAGTTTCTGGTTAATACCTCTAGAAAGGAAAAGTAGACAATATACAGGATTTCAGATAGATGGAGTAGTATATCGATTCAAAGTAGTACCATTTGGACTTCAATCATCTTGCAGTGCTTTATGTAGATGTCTTCATGATATTTTGGATCAATATAAACAATTTCTAATTCACTACATTGATGATATATTAATTTTATCGAAAACGGGTGAAGATCATGGGAAACACCTAAAAATTGTAATCAACAGATTGGACAAAGTTGGACTAAAAATAAATCAAGAGAAATGTACATTTTTCTAAAAAGAAGTAGTATATATATATATATATATATATATATATATATATATATATATATATATATATATATATAGGTTATAAACTTAATACTAAGGGAATTGAAATGGACCCAGAACGGACACAGGTTATTCAGGAATATAAAACACCACACAATTTAAGAACTTTTAGGGAGAGCGCCCACCAAAGTGGCGTAGCAGTGGCAAGTAGCAAGTAGCACGCGTCTAGCATAATGTAACCAATCCTAACGAATGATTAGAATGAATGACGTTACTGTCATTTTGGTGTAAACTGAATCATTCGTTTTCATTGGTTACATTATGCTAGACGCGTGCTACGTGCTACTTGCCACTGCCACGCCACTTTGGTGGGCGCTCGCCCTAAGAGGATTTATTGGAATAATTAATTATTATAAAAGGATGATACCAGATCTAAGTATAAAAGAAATTCCATTACTTGAACTGCTGAGGAAAGGTGTAAAATTCAAATGGGATGAACGAAGAGAACTAGCATTCCAAGAAATCAAAAACATTTTTCTGTCAAATTTAAAAATATACCATCCTGACTATACAAAGCCATTCATATTAAGATGCCCCAATAGAGAGAGTATCAGGGGTATTACTACAAATACATGATGGGGTCGAATACCCTATACAATTCATTTCAAGATTTACAAAGCCACATGAGAAAGGTTATTCAGTGTCAGAACTAGAACTAGCAAGTATCATACACTGTGTCACAAAACTAAGATTTTATTTGTTGGGTAATCAATTTATTATAGAAACAGATCACCAAGCTTTAACATCTATATTAAATAATAAATATGGAAACATTCAAGTACACCGTTGGAGCCTAATACTGAG